AGAGACTTCCAAGCACGCTCCAGACTGCTTTGTGGGAGTGATGTTCAGCATTAACTTGATCACTGTGCATTCGCCTTTTTTCTAATGCTTCTTTTAAATCAATGTATGTTATAAGAGTTTGCACTTCAATCACTGCTCTTCTCCTGGCTTCTCTGATACATGGATTCTTTCCTGGACTCACTTCATCCAAGCACGTGATTAATCCTTGCAGTTCTGCCTTAGATCCCAAATACAAGTCAGAAGCATTTTCCACTCTTAAAAGTACAGAATGAACTTCTTTCATTTTTTTGCGGATCTCTTCTATTTTCAGAATGGACTGATTTTGGGCCAAGTCATAAGCTGAAGTTGTGTCAGCTTCCTCTTCCAAATCCAGGTATTTCTGTAACTTATTGATCTCTTCCACCACTTCCTTCCTGTAATTTCTTATTTCTACATGGCCACAAACATCCAAAGCATCCAGATCAGCCATCAAGCCGGTAAGCACGCATGCTAAGTGCCTGCAGGTTTCGTTATTATTTACTCCCATGAGGAGCGCAATAAGCGTCCCTCTAGCTTTGTTCACGTCGCACAGGACAGAGTTAATTTTAGAAATGGAGGGATGCACGTTGTCGGACAGCGGCAGGGAAGGCTGCTGCTTGACGCAGCTTTCTATGATCTCCTGAACCATACACACTTTTGTCACCGTGCGGTACCTCGCTTTCCGCAAGGAGACTTTCCCTCCGGTTTTCACCTGAGTGAGTCTCAGGATGATGTCCTGAAGACCCTCTTCGAACTCGTCGCTGATGCAGTTGGCACCTTTGTAGAAAGGGGTGATTTCCCGTTCCACGAGGGACTGCGCCTCCTTGTAGATGGCCTCGATCTCCAGCCTGTGCGGGTGGTTGGCATTTTGCTCCAGCTCCTTCAGCAGCCTCTCTGTTTCCTGGGCCGCCCGGTTGCGGGCTTGCTGGACGTCCCCTCGGCCCTCCGTGTCCACAGAATCGATCTCAAACAGCTGCCTGGTCAGGGCCCGCTCCAGCTTCTTGTACTCCCGGTCGGCAGACAAGCCGCTGAAGGCTGCCACCTGCTGCTCCAGGTCCTTGACTTCCTTCTGGATCTCCTGGAGCCGTCTGATGGCAGGGTGTTGGTTACCCATATCCATGCTCTTCCCTCATCCGGCTCCACGTGAACTGAGAGAGACAGAGCGACACACGGGGCTTGGCACCAGTTCGACAGGCTGCCCTCCCTCTCGCCCCACACCATCGTGGGCCTGGGCTGGGGATCCGACCTCCGCCACCCCCAGCTCCTG